CACACACACACACACACACACACACACACACACACACACAAATAAGAGAGACATACATAAAGAGAGAGAGAGAGAGCGAGATTGATTCAGTCCCATTCAGCACCACGGGCAGTTCCTAGCGCATATAGGAACTGTCCATGGTGCTGAATTACATTTCCTGCTAAATTGTAGTGTGAATGCTTATTGCTGAAGAACCTGCTAAAAAAAACAGCTGAAATTAGCTAAAAACATGCTGAAATATAGTTGAAATTGAAGAACAGGCCTAAGTTAGCAGAAGAAAGTAGAAAGTACACATATTTACTGAAAAATGAGACCAAAAGTTAGGAAATTAACTAAAAAAAAAGAAAAGCTGAAATTAGCAACAACAACAAAAATACATAAATAAATAAACTTGCTGAAAAGGCAGAAAGAAGCTTAAATTACCACAAGGAAATGGAAGGAGATGAAGCAAGCCAAAAAAAAAAAATAAAAAAATAAAATGGAATTAGCTGAAAAAGCCAAATTTAGCACAAAATCCACTAAATAGTAGCTGAAATAGCAGAAGAAGCTGAAACTGTCAGAAATAAGTTGAAATGAGCATAACAAGTTGAAATGAGCAGAAAATGTTAATTAGGCTGAAAGTAGTAGAAATTACCATGAAAAACTTGAAATTATCTGAAAAAGTTAAAATTAGCAAAACAACAGATGAAAAGTAGCTGAAACAAGCTTAAATAACCAGAATGAAGTGGAGAGAGCATATTTTTGCTTAATTAGGCTGGAAAAAGTTGAAATTAGTGCCAAAAACTTGAAAAAATCTGAAAATGCTAAAATAAGCATAAAACAGCTAAACTGTGGCTGAAATAGCAGAAAAGCTGAAATTAGCAGAAAGAAGTTAGAATAAGCCCAAAAATGTAGTTAGTAGAAGAAGCTGAAAAGAGCACAAAACAGTTGGGAAAAACAGCTGAAAGTAGCTGAAAAGCATCCTGATGCATGCTCAATAATCCAGGTAGAAAAATCTAAAAAAGTTAAATCTGGTCCTCTGGACATTCAAAAAAACAAAACAAAGCAAATCAACAAAAAATGTAGAAACGTAGCTGAAAAGCAGTTAATATTTGCACAAATAAGCTAAAAGAAGCTGAACTGGAACAAATGTGAAAGGAGTGGTAATGTTTGTAAACAGATCTAAACATATACATCCATCCATCCATTATCTTTACCCCCTTATTCCATTTTGGGTCACGGGGGTCGCCGGTGCCCATGTCCAGCAATCACTGTGTGAGGGGCGGGGTACACCCTGGACAGGTCGCAAGTCCATCACAGGGCTAAACACACACACACACACACACACACACACACACACACACACACACACACACACACACACACACACACACACACACACACACACACACACACACACACACACACACACACACACATACATATATATATATATATATATATATATATATATAATTTTGCTGTTGCTGAACACAGTCTAATCAGTTTTAATCAATATCAGAACTTCAATTATTTCCCCTAAAAGTGATAAGAATAAACTTTTTTTTAGAAAATGATCACCAACTCAGACTGCAACCAGCTGTTGTCCTTCCTGTAACTGCAGCACTGACCAAATCTAAACGTGCTAATAGAATATTTGCTTTTATCCATTTGGATCTTTGACGAACAGAACTCAACACATTTATATTACACTTTTTCAACACTAAAGTGTTTATGGAAGCAAAGCAAACGATAAGTCTAAATGAGAGTTCAACAGAACTAAAAGAAATATACTTTTTTTTATCTGAGCCCAGATTACAGAGCTAACATTTTACAACTGTCCAGTATGGGACACAAACCCTGATGTCCACCCATAATCAACACATTTCTACACATCTGATTAGAAAATGTCTTACTGTAATAAGAAATCATGTTTTTAAAATGCGTTTTGTTACATGTTGAATATAAAATTTTCATAATTTTGCCAAGAATTGTTTTTACCCATGTAAGGTTCTTTTTGTCCCGTTTTGATTCTGATAAAGATAACCTTTAACTACTATGCCACAATCATTAATTTTATTTTATTTTAGAGTAGAAAAACATAAAACATAAGAGAATAATCAGATTGTGTTCCTTATTAAAGACTTTTTCCCATTTTTCTCACAGCTAAGATCATTCCCTTTGTTTCTCTTTCTGATTTATGTGCCTATTACACATAACGAGCTCTGCAGCGCCACCTGCTGGTTGAGTTTTAATCCAGTTTCTTCAGTCTAAAAAAAAAGTTACACCCAAGTAAAGGAATTTTCAATGATAAACCGTTTGAAATATTCACTTTAAACCAACTTGACAGGTATCAAATAAATACACAAACAAAATACTTAAAGAGACATATCCTAAAAAAACATGGCAGCTGAACTCAGTCAATCAGTTTGTTGTTCAATGATGAATTGTACACTCGGGACATTTGCAGTAATAACAAATAAAAAGGTGAGGTTTTTTGCTCAAAGCTGTAGTTTTTCAGTCTGAAACGTTGCCACTTCCTGTCACCACTGACACGCTTTTCTTGACATTTACATCACACAGATAAAAGTTCATTACAATCATAACTCAAAATGAAAGACGATCTTCATCGTCTAGTTTATTCAGGTTTTTGCCAAAACCATGCATAAGATTAGAGGTCTAAAAATTCATATTCACGTTAGTACCAACATACTTTGTTTTTAAGTGAAATCCTTACCTGTATTTGTCTGTGCAGCTGTATTTGACCTTTTTTAACTGTCCTACATTGTTGCATCCCTCTCTACTCACCACGCATCAGGATGGAGTCACTATTGGTCTGGAGGTGCTTCTGCCCAAAGAGGCCAAACTTCACTTGGACACCAGCTCACCACTTCAGTATGACGTCTTCCTCTACAAGATTGCCAACAATGGAGACTCCGCCTCTCACAGCCAAGCTCCTCCCCCTCACTCATCCACCTCTCATGTCATTTCGAAGTCACCCAAGTCCCCAAAGCAAACCAAGGCACAACCATGTATTAACTGTGAACCAGAGTCTGGGAGGCACTCCTCACCTAGTCGCCACCCCCACTTAGTGCATGGGGGTTATCCCCCCACCTCTTCCTCCCAGCACAAATGCATGTCCACCTCTGCCTCCCCTCTGCTACACAGAGGTCAGGCTCCTGGCACAGAGCACTCTGGGGGTCGGAGAGACAACCAGAGCGGACGCATTCGCCCATCTCCTTCGTCGCCTCACCTCACTCAGCCTCCTCCATCACCATCCGGGATGAAGAATTATGCAGTCAGCACCCATTCTCTGCCACCCTGACCTGACAGCTCCCCAGTCCATCCCAGTATCCACACATTCAAAGCACAAACTTCTGTTCTAATCTATTCAGTGATGTATCCATTGTGACTCTAACATTATGTTATTTAGTGATTTATAGATATTTTATCAACCTGTCCATCTCTGCACCTTAACTTCCTACTTTAACCTTGACAGGACAAAGACAACGCTCGGTCTGGTCCCACAGAACCGGAACTGGGAACACTTTGAGCTCTCAACATTGCCAACAAAATCAAGCATGGAGGCACTAAAACACAAAAACAGACAACAATGTTGCCAATACAGCTACACTTCTCACTGTTGTGTGTAAATAACCTACAAAAAGCTCAGGTTACTGCTCATGGCAAGCTGTGACAAACATGGTGCCAATGTCAGCTGCAGCAGGATGATGTTCACAAAAACTTCAGTGTGGTTTTGATGTTTTGTATCCTCTTTCTACTGTATTCTTTTTCATATTCCTAATCCTTGACCAACAACTGATAAATAAATAAAAAAACATTAAGTACTGAAGACAAAAAAAAAAAAAAAAAGCAGACATTTTGTTAAGTTCCTCTGCTGCCCCCTGGTGGAGCATGAAGGTATTTTAACAACTCACTGAGACAAAGTTAGATTTCAGGTTTTAAATCATTAAGTGAATGAAGTCTGTAGATAACAAGTGTAAATAAAATATTTTTAATGCGTTTGTGAATGCATCACCCGATTAAACTTAAAGTTGTTCAAATGTTTTTGTTTTCAAACTTGTTTTTTAATTACTTGTGTCATTTGTTAGCCTTACTGACCAAGTGCTGGACTTCATTTGAATAAATTTGGAGAATTAGAGCAATTTATTTGAGTTAGAATCTCTTCACTGGCAAAGAAATACACCACCAGATTTAATTAAATATTACTATTTAAACTATTTCAATGGCCTGCAGATTTCAATGTAGCTTATCACAATCAGGAAGTTTCAAAAGCCCCATAATTTCCAAGCTGGCTGCAACTTTAAGGCAGGTTGAAGGAAAGAGATGGGTGGCAGCAGGCTGGCATCAAGGACAGATAAATTGCTTTGTGAACCCCAATGGCAGACTGCACTTTAAAAATGTTGAAGAAATGCTGAAGGAATCACAAATCTTGCAACACATTTATGCACCTACAGGCCTGCAAAGTGTTCATGTCATTTTAGCGTGGTGTGCCTTATCTTGGAGGGGATTGTTCTGCAGGATTTGGTTGGAGGGCAGATTCAAGAGGAGATCTGGAGGCTCTTGCTGCTTTGGTCCCACGAGGACGTGAGCTGTCACAGTATAGCCAGATAATATGTGAGCATTACAGTCAGTTGAACAGTGACTCTTTTATAAATAACGGTGCCAGCTCTCACAGATGAAATATTTAGGCTTTTCACAGTCGTTTTCAGAAAAGCATTAGCTGAGAGTTTTATTGCAGACGCTTTCTGTAATCTTTGATTTCCTCATGAACACATAATTATGGTTTATGATTGGAAATGATTTGCCATGGAGCATATCCATCCAGTAAAAACCTGTGAGATGTTACCTTGCTCAACCTGCGCTCATCTCTCATACTTAAGAAAACAAAACTAGATTTCTATTCTGAAGCTGAAGATGTTTTGCTTCACATCCGGGAGGCTTTATCAATTCTAAATTGTCTGGAGAGTGTGGAGTTCACAGCTTTATAAAACTGCATGAGAGGCCTGTACCTCCACTCACATGCAGGTTAGACTGGAGCTACTCGCCCTGCACAATGGAGGCTCGTCAGGCTCTTTGTCTGCAGCTCTCAGAGAGAGGTGTTTTGGTCACCGGCATGAAGGAGTAGAGCTGATGGGAATCAGGCCTCATGTTGCACTGTAAGTTTTTAAAAGTTAAAATCTGAGACCTCCTCCTCTGATTAAAGGCACACCATGCTAAGATAACAAGAGCAGAGTTTGCAGGCCTGCAGGCACGTGAATGTGTTGCAAGATTTGTGATCCCGTCAGCATTTTTCCCAATTTTTTTAAAGATGGCACCAACTTTAAACAGAGCAGAAGGTCTCCGATTTCAACTTTTAAAAACTTACAATGCAGAATTAGGACTGATTCCAGCTCCACTTTCCACACACTTCATGCATGAGACAAAAACATCTCTCTTGTGAGCCAGGCTAACAAAGAGCCACATGGAGCGGGGCGAGCAGTTCCAGTTTAACCTGCAGCTGAATCTAAGTACAGCATTTTTCGGACTACAAGGCGCACCGGATTATAAGGCGCATTAAGCGAAACAAAGCAGTCAGACAAGTCAAACTTTATCCAACTCATTTACAATAACTTGTTCAGTTGTAGGGCAGCACGGTGGCGCAACTGGTAGAGCTGCTGCCTCTCAGCGAGAAGGTCCTTGGTTCAAACCCCGGTCCAGGGGCCTTTCTGGGTGGAGTTTGCATGTTCTCTCCGTGCATGCGTGGGTTTTCTCCGGGTGCTCCGGTTTCCTCCCACAGACCAAAAACATGCATGTTAGGCTAATTGGTAACTCTAAATTGTCCCTAGGTGTGAGTGAGAGAGTGAATGGTTGTTTGTCTCGTTTGTCTCTATGTGTCCCTGTGATGGACTGGAGACCCGTCCAGGGTGTACCTCGCACCTCGCACAGTGATTGCTGGACATGGGCACCAGCGACCCCCGTGACCCCAAAATGGAATAAACGGGTAAAGAAAATGGATGGATGTTCAGTTGTAACACATAAAATCAGTTCGAGGTCAGTAAGCACAACCAGAATGGCACACCAGATTATAAGGCTCACTGTTGATTTTCAAGAAAATTAAAGGATTTTAAGAGCACCAGTTTGAAAAATACAGTACACAACATGCAGTTATATAAAGTCACACACTCCAGACGTATTAGAATTAATCAATTCTCCCGGATAGAAGCAAAATATATTTAGCACTCCAGCTGTTTTTGTTCATTATCTTTCTTTTTTTTATTTTTTTATCCTGACCTGGATGTCTTGAGAATCTTCACATCTACTCGTGTTGTGTCTGAAAGAGCCACTGAGTGGCAGTGTGGCTCCACAGTCCGGCGTGCGCGTGCAAGCGGAAAAGACCCGCGGGCACTTTAAAATCCGCTGATCTGCATCCTGATTAGCATTCTCTCTGTGTGGACTGGGGTGGGGGAGGAAGGGGGTGGTTAAGGTGTGCAGATTGAACATCATAATTGTTTTTGTTGTCATCCAGATGTAGGGGGTGATCTGGGCAGGTCTCAGGTGTGTTCACAGAAGAGGTGACAGTGCACAGCAGGCCTGTGTGTGTTTTACAGTTCAAGCAGAGCAAGACTGAACAGACAAAACGTTTGCATGCAAGCGTGTGTTTGTGGCTGAACGAAACATTTAATCTGGATGTGATCTATAATGTACAGATGTATGGATGCAGTTAGAGAGGACATGGCGGGAGATGGAAGGAGAGATGGAGGAGGGTGACTCGCTGTGGCGACCCCTGAAGAGGGAAAAGCTGAAAGAAGACTGTAAAGTATATTTGCTGACCTAAAACAGATGTACTGGAATTCTCTCTGTCTTAGTCTCACTCCGCCCATCCTTCTGTCTCTAACATGTATTCCACACACACACATCCTACATCCCACACACACATACGTCTCTTGAGATGGCGTCGCTGCAGATGAATATTTTTGTAATTAGTGGAAAACACGCAGAAGATTGAGGCTATTCAGCCAAAAAAAAAAACTTTCTCAGACATATATTGCAGGACATTTAAAAACTGTTTGTGTGTGTGTGTTCCTACTAAATAGCAGGAATGTATTGTCTGGAGACAATAAAAACTAGAACATTTCTAAGTCAATTCTAAAGGATGCCAATGCAGCTAAATGTCTTCTTTGCAAGATTCTAATCTAAAAAATGTTTACATTTTTGATGAACTTTAGGTTGAACTTTAAAAATACTTGAGCCGTGAGCAGCAGAAGACTCTGATGGTCACACACGTGACAACTTTCTGTAATCTGGAGAGATTTGAGAGAAAGCTATAGATCCTGTGTTAGATACAGACACACTGAGGGAGAAAAAAGACAAAAAATCTCTATATGTGCCAAAAACAGTTGTGGGATTAAAAAGTTTGTTTGCAAAGTATAAACTCAGACATTTCAAACGCTAAAGTTCATCAAATGTAAGTTGAACCTCTTGCTGAAATTGTGATAGTCAAAACGTCTGTTTTGTTATATACTGTCCGACATTCTGAGACCTGTTTAAACTTTGAATGATGCAAGTTTGAGCCTCGACAGAGTTTCTCTTCTATTTCACCAAAATCCCATTAATTGCCTTTTTTTATGCAGGATTTTTTTGTGTGTGTGCAAATTTTGTCTGTTTTTCTGCTGCCAAAAGTCATAGGACACTATTACCAATCAGGCCATATGTTCCAATTCTTTTTTCAAAAGTATGCAAATTACAGATTAAACTTTTTTAACATAATACAAAAGAAGTGTTTGGCATTGAATTTTTTTTAATTACCGCAACTCTTTCAGAATAATGAGAGACTCGCTGTCACTTCTATTTTTGTGTCGCTTTTGTGTTTTTCAAGTTGAAATGTTTTTTTCTGTTTGTGGGTGACACAGTTATTAGTAATCTAACATCATGTGCAAACAATGAATAATTTCATCCAAATTAAAGAAATTAGCCTGTAATCTCTGAAGCTGCTTTATGTTTCAGCTCAAGCAGCAAGAAGCCGTGCGAAATCCTCATCTCTTCCTTTTGACTCATTTTGTGTCTGAAGAGGAAAAGCAAAGGTGCAACATGGAAATCAATAACTTCCCTTTAAACAAGAACATGTTTGATCCTTTTTAGCGCCGAGGTCAAGATGACGGTGATTTACACAAACAGCATTTTGAAAACAAGATTTTATTATTTTTTTGTCATTCATTGAGTCTAAACTCGAAAAAAGAAAATGCATCATGACTTCTTTTAAAAGTTAGATTGTCCACCAGTTTCTGACATTTGAAAATTAAAGAAGCAATATGAAAAAAAACATCTTTGGATGTGGAGTTTTTTGGGGATTCTTATGGCTGTTCAGGTTTTTAATCACCTGGTAATATTGA